ATACCAGAGGGCTCAAGCCAGGGTACTGCTGGACTGCATCTTCTCTAACCCACCATAGAGGGGATCCTCAGTCCTCAGAGCTTCAGGGGAACGTGGACTGGTTTTTGTGAGAGGCACATAATTATTTCTGAGGAGCCCAGTCTTACTGCTAAGAGGTGAGAGAAGGCAAACAGAGTGTACAAGGGCCACAGGCCAGAGCCATGATAATCTCTGGGCCTGTGAGGCCTGGGCTCCCAGTGGGTATGGGCCCACACACTTCCTACAGCTTTGGATTTCCCAGGAATGCCAATGAGATCCCTGGGCTCAGGTGTGCCCACAGTCACTGTCAGATTTCACCACAGGTTCCTGGCTGCTCACCTTAGGCTGTACTTCCTCTGACGCTGTAATTTTTCTCTTTTGCAGAAATGGTTTTGGCAACTGTAGTTTCAGACTGGCCTTATTACAGCAGATTATTACCCCCCAATATTTATGATGTTATTTTGTCTCCCAAGCACACAGAAATTTCTTCCCATACATTTTATTTTGATCTTATCTAAGGCTATAGCCTCCTCACTTTACCAAGGTCTCTTCTTTTTGTTCTTTGGTAAGAATAAGGCCATGCAAAAATATGTGTGATGAAGCCTTAAAACCCCTGAGACCTATTCAATGTCTAACTTTGCTATGAACTTCAAAGTTCAAAAGAATGTCTCATTAATGGGCATTTATATATCATCTGCATAATGAGTCTTTTTCTATTCCCTCTCCCCTTTTTATGCCTTTTATGGTTTGACATTGACCATACATTGACTGTCAGAGGTCGGTTACAAGAACAAGATTTGGATGAGAACATTGCAGGACACACTATGGAGAATTTAAATATATAGCAGCCACTGACTCTGTCAAAATCCTTTTTCCATATTTAAGAAAAGAGCTGAAATGAGGATTAGATTTAATGTTGATCAGGGTGAAGGTCAAAACCAGTCACATCTCTTTATATCTATTGAATTAATTATAAACACTATGTGGTTAGGTGGAGTTATTTCAGTTCCAGGGGGTCCTGTGTTTTTCTAAAGCTGTTTTTAAAATAACTGGAAATAATTATTTGCATTGATTTTACATGAGATTATATGTATCTGTCTGGGGTTTTCCAGGCAAAAATTTAAAGGTCACAAATACTCAGCTGACTTCATAAAAAAGAAAATACATTTTTCTTCCAAATCTCTTCAAACTAACAAACTCTTCAAACCAACAACTAAGCACACATTTCTTTTACAATATGCCCTATTCTCAATAAAATGTTTTTCCCAACACGAAGAGAAGTGTATATTCCCCCAAAATACAAATATTTAGGTAGGAGAGTAAAAAGAGTAGCACTTAGGGACCAAAGTTTGCGTATTTTCACCACAGCCATAGAAATATTTGCAAGGCCAGATATTTGTTTAGGATAAGGGCTTTTCCTGTGAGGCATGAAACTGATTTGCACCTCTGGTCCCAAACATAAAGGCCAAATTGCTAAAATATTCACTTAAACATACAGGACCCAAAAGACCTTCAAGGAGACTTGGAAAGAGGTTCCCACAGCAGAGGAGAGTAATGAGATCTGAAGAACAGCTGGCTAGGAAAATGTCACTACACGTCTCCAACTGTCTCCTCACTGGAGTCCTACAAAAATGTTTTTAGAAAAAAATCTTGAAAAAATCCTATTATGGCTTTGTTTGGAGCAGAAAACTTGATATTTCCTTTTTAAAATTAATTTTCTTTTCAAAATATACTGAAGACTACATCCATAACAAACAGATCAACAGATGGAACCACGTCGTGCCTGGGGGCACCCAGAGTTGCAGTGCCCACATCCCTGAGGTCAAGCTGTGTCCATCACTCCTGGAGTTGTGTGAATGGAGTCACACATCCCATAAACAACCCTAAATGCACCATGCAGTGGGGATCTCCCAGTGCTGTAGCTGCCAGTCTGATAGGGAATAATGATGGAGTAATGGAGTGGTTGGTGGGAACAGCCCTCCTGAGCTCAGTCCCACCACACAATGCTCGAAAAAGGACTTTGTCCATCATCTTCCTCTCCTCCAGGGATGGGAAAGGCAGGATAAAGTCTGAATTTATTCTCCCTGCTCTTATAACTAAATAGATTTGGCTTGCTGCAGTCAGGGCCATTTGAATCAGGCAGAGTTTCCTTGAAGACTGCTTGGACTCAAACATTTTCCCAAAATTCCGTATGACATGAGAACTTGTTTTGGTGGCTGACGAAATTGTTTGTTGAGATTGGCAGCACCTAACTTCTCCACTCCTTCGAGCTTCCCTCCTTCCCTTTTCTTCTCCCTCCTCCACCCCCCAGCTTTCCCTGCCCTTTTTCAGCATCCCCAGCTCCCAGGCTTGGGCTACTGCCCCCATGGCACCCGATGTTTTCCAGCAGGGCTGAGGGGAGGGGGGACACTTCTTGATGCGCTGCAGATGTGGGCTGTTAGTGGTGCTTTCACATGGAACTCAAATTGCTTGAGAAGGTTTAACCCTGTGACTAAATCCTCAAACCTGCAAACTGTAAGCAAAGCCCATGCTCCCATCCAGGCTGAAAAGGGCAAGTTAATGAAAGAAACCCCCACCCCAGCAATTCACAGGATGCATGAAAAGAAACCTAAACCCCCCACATTCTCAATGCTAATTAAGCAATAATGATCAAGGCACAGAGTATTTCCTGGGGATTAATAACTAACTGGGAGGAGATGATGACCCCAGACAGTCATTAATCCTCAGGAAATGCCCTGCATCGAAGTTGTTATTGCTAGTTCAGGCTAAATATGTGAGAAAAGAGATTTTTTTTTAAAGTCCTTGTTGGAGGTTTTTCCAGTATGTTTTCCCTTTGGTTGGAATTATGAGCCCCCCGGAGTAGGACCTCTCAGACCCATCAGTCAACCAGATAGCAAAAAATATTCTTCCAGACCCCAGCATGATAAGAAATAAAAGTTAAATCATAGTTCCTTAAGTAGGCCCTTCTGCAGATGTCTCTTGAGACATTCAAAGCCTGATCCTGCACAGCACAAAGCAGTGTCAGCTCCCTCTGAACTCAGTGAGGAGCTCAGGGACCTCAAATTTCTGTAACCTCTGAGAGTCTCCTTATCCAACAAACACAGAGTCCATGGAGCTTAATGCTCCTGGATACAGGCCCTGACTTTAGCATGTGCTTGATTCCAAGCTCATGCTTAACTTCAGGCAAAGGTACACTCAGCTGACTTGAATGATTTAACAGACCACGTGTAGTAACCAGGAACGCTTTGCAGAATATTCCTTGTAAGGGAGACCTCAAAACACACAAACACATGAAAACACATGCAAAGGAAAAGGATGAGAAAAGCTCCCACTACCACATCACAAGCCTGTTCTCAGGTCTGTCTCAGAAAGAATTTGGATTCTGCAATCAAAGAAATGGAAGTTAAAGAAAAAGTTCCTCCTTCTCATTGGTAGTCCTTAAATTTTTCTGAAAGCAGAGCTTTTTGGTATGCCATTAAATGGTCCTTCAGCTTCAAAAGAGAAATTAAGCAAAGATAAGAAAAAATAAAATGAGTTTCATGTAAATTAATCTTCCCAGCTAAGTTTGAAAAAACGTTAACACAATAGTATAAGCAACAATAGATAAACTTTTTTTTTTTCTAAAATCTTTGCTGTCTAAAAACTACTAAAATTAATAATATTGCAGGGTTAAGGTTAGGGTTAGTATTACCACAAATACACATTTACTTATGTATACTTCTACATATTAAGAACGGTTTCAGTCCTAAGCATCATTTTCTCAGCTCTTCTGTGTCACTCCTTGCAAAAAAAAAGCCCCTGAAGGATGGAAAAGAAAGGTCTGACAACAATAAGGCCTGCCTGTGTTCAGCTCCTACATTATTTTGAAACCATTGAAATCATTCAGTACCTAACAGGATTAAACTAAGGAAAAGACTTAAAAGAATATAGTCAAAATGCAGCCTGAACTGCTAGGAAAAAATGAATTATCCTTTTTTTATATAACACCTCCAACCATTAGAAGAAAGAACCAAGAAGTCAGTGCAATACACAAACTACAGAAAGCTCTTAAACTAATGAACAGCCAGAAGAATTAGCAAACCCCACTTTCTAAAGATCTCTGCTTTATCCTCCACATAAATCTCTTCACTTTGCAGCAACACCAGCCCCAAGTGTTAATAACACAGTGTCAGCAATTTTGGTAAGATTTATATAGGAAAACTGCACTGAAAATTGCCTGGTCATTATACATTCCTTTGGAATCAATGAAACACTATAAATCTTTAAAAACATTTGTGCTCATATGATTCAGACATACTCCCCAAGTGTACCCTGACACTCATTAGAGGATACTTAAGCATGGTGTGGCAGAGAAAAAAAATATAATAAAGTCTCCATGTTGTGGTTTTTTTTTTTTAATAGAGTACATAGAGAGTGTATTGCAAGAGCAAGGTTGGGAGTTCTATTTTTCAGATGGAAATTAATAACAATTCCAAACCAGAACCAAACCTACAGCTCCTCCATACCATGAGAGCAGTCACTTGGTCTAGAGTTTCACGTTGGCCTATTTCTTACTAGCTGGGCTAAGCTGGCATCAGGGGGCTATCATCTGTCAAAATATCAGCAGGAGAAACAATTGACAAAGCCACCACTTGAGAATGTTGAGTAAACTGGGTAAAAAGCAGTGAAAGAAGTTAATGTGCAACCTGGCACACAGTACCAGCCCAAGCCGTGAGAACCACTTATGTGATAATTGGTCCCTCACAATATCTTCTGCTCTGTAAAACATTGTCCTGGGCTTGTCTTTCAGCACAGGAACGGATCTCTTTGAGGCACAATGAAACAAACACCCACCTGAAAGCCCCCTCCAGCTGAGAGGGGAGGAATTCAGGTGGGAAAGCTTGTGATTTCTGAACAGCTACAAACAGTTTCAGGTAACTCCAGACTCACCCAGGGTCAGCAGAAAAAAAAGCAAACCCTTTTTTGAAAGAAGAAGAAACACATTTATATGCAGCCATTTATTCAGTTCAGACAGAAATTAGTAACCTCTGGGATTCAAAGTATCTCTCTCTCTCTCTTGCCATTTTTATCCTCCTTGTTGTCCAGCCTTAAAAAAAATAAATCCTTATTGTACTGGCAGAGTATTACCAGGGGAAGAAATGTAAAACCAGGAATCAGAAGAGAAACAGGGAAAATTAACAAAGCTGGTCTGTCTACAGAGTAGGAACCCAGGCAGAAGAAATAGAAGAACATTAGAATAGATTATGAAACATCTTTTAACACAGGTGTTTCACAGGGCACCAAAGCTCCTCTCAGCCTTGCTTTATGTGTATATGTATACATATATAGATAGATGAGTGCATCTACCAGCTTTTTAAAGTTGGAGGAGAGGGAACCAGAGCAACTAAAATCAAAGCTAGTGATGCATCACCACGTTAACACTCACACTTGCTCCTCTACAGAGGCATTTTGCAAGAGAGCAGAGGAGAGAGTGCAAGTCACCATCTGAAACCTACCCGGAAAGGAAAGGTGATGAAAAAGCTTTGAGCAGAGGGGTAAAATTCACCCTATAAGGAAATTATTTTACTTTCTAAAGTTAGTTCACTCTGAGTTTGCAAAATGACCTAGGAGACTGTTCTATACTGGGATCTTCTTGAGAGAAAGGGGCTGATTTGTAGCTACTGGAAAATATGAAATTCCTGTATGTTTTGGCACATCTTTAGATTCTCAAGAGTCAAGAAACGGGCCTCTGTGTTTTTCAGTGATTCAGAGAGTGACAGTCAGTCCTTACAAAGTGGGAGAACTCAGTGTTTGTAGAGCAAATATAATTTTCTTTATGACAGAAAATTTCCTATAGTGGAATCTGTTCTTTCTTGTGGTGTTTCAAAAAATAGTGATCCACATTCAGGCTTGTTGCTAGAGCAACAAACATGTGGGCAAATGCTGCTCTCTAGAGATATGTTCACTAGCAGGCCAGGTGTTCTTTTGTATGGATCTGGGCTTTGTCATATTAACAACTGTGGATGAATCATGGCAATTTTCCTTCAGATTTCACTAAAGCTTATGACACCCATAGTTTCCTATGCAGCTCGTGCTAAATCAATCCCTATTCCCTGAAAAACACCATCCTTTTCCTAGCTAGTCATGGAGTGACCACTTTCAACGTGTCAAAGGAAAAGTTAAATTACAAAGACAGTGTTTGGCATCCAAGATTAATAACAGCCAGTAGGGATTTCCTTTAATGAGATCACCCAGTGCCTCACTAAAATGGTGCCACGGCAGCCAGAACAACCATGGAGAAGTAAGAGAGATAAAAAGACAGCACAGAGATGAGACTAAAACCAGCTCCCTCATGAATTAGGTTTATGTCATGCTCCTATGCTTCATAACAAAATGTGCAAAAACCATGGTTAACACTGTTATACCTGGGCTCCATTCAGACACTGGGAAGGTAGAAAAAGGTCCTCATCCATGTGAGGAAAAGGGCTCCCTGGGAAAACCATGCTGCTGTGCTACACAGATCCCAGGTCAAGGAGGCAGGTCTAGAGCAGCAGCCCCTTTCTGTACCATCTCTAGGTATGTCTTTATTCAGATAAACAAAAGAGATTCTAGAGGTGAGTTCAAACACTGGAACCATGAGCATCCATACCATGTAATTGTCATTTTGCTCCCTGATCATATCCAGGCTCCTCCAGGTAGCTCACTCCAGTGCCATGCCCAGGCCCAGGCCAGCAATATCACACTTTGGGGACTGCTCCAAAGCAGCACATTCATGATGTGGTTTGACCACCTCAGCAGCTCTGCAGTGCCACCCCAGCAGGCTTTACACCCCCAGGCACTGCCACGTGCCCCTGTGCCACGACCCTGGGCACCTATCTCTAGTTTCATGCTGGAGCAGCAACGTATGTGAGAACTGGAATGCAGCACCACTGGGCTTCAGGGGCCTGATACCAGGAAAAAACACTCAAATACTCATTCTGTAGGACCCTCCAGGAACTCACAGGGACCAGATGAATTCCAGTCCAAAATGCCATGAAACAGGAGCACAACCCTCCTCTAACAAGAGCTTAGTGTGCACCAGTCTGTGCCGCTTCTCTTTGGGCACAGGGACTGCTCTCTGCATCTCTTGTATTTAGAGACACTGACACAGCAAAGGAGACGTGGGCCCTCTGGAGTAAAAAACTGTGATTTTAGTCTCCATAATCTGACTTTATTTGTCCTCAGTTGCCATGTTGGGTTTTCCCTCATTCTTACTTTTATTTGCCTTCCCTTTAAGTGAACTAGGGAAAACTGAAGAAGAAAAACAGGTAAATTTCTGTTTAAAGGACATCGAACCTTGCAAGCTGAACATTGTGACATCAGAATCATGTTGGTCCTCAAAACAAGGCCTGACTAAACTTACCCCACTGCTCCTGGATGTTGTAACCCTGTTGATTTATTCCTGATTTACCGCTGCCTAGAGAAAGCCTGACCCTCCTTTCCTTGTGAGAGGAATTTTGTTAATGAACTGAATCCAGAGGAATTCAGAACTGTTTTAGATTTTGCCTGTAGGTTTAAAACGCTGAGATGTGTAGTTATCAGTAAGAAAACCATAACTTTCTGTAGCCTTTCCTAAGCCAGTACCAGCATACAGAGTGCTCAGCAGATGGACGGGCATGGAGTTACACATCTGGAATGCAGGCTCTCCACCAGACACTTGGTGGCATTCCAGCAGCTGGATTTCTCTGTAGGCACCCTCCATTGCTTACTGCCAAGAAAGAGGTTTGTCCTAATTGGCATCAACAATAACAACAGTACCTCCTCTCCCCTAACAGGTTTAGGGCTGAAGGCAATCATAGATGTCACTCACTCTGCTTGCCTTCAACTCGCTTAGGATTAGACCACCCTCCTCTTCATCTGCGTGGCAGACTGCTACACCAGGCTGGATACCGGGCCACCACCAGCTGCAAGGCCTTTCTTGTTTGTCAGCCCTTCAGCTGAGTGTATTCTTTATTCCTCAGCAGCTGGAAAAAAAAAAATAACAAAAATCAGAGGGACCAACTGTGACTTCTTGAAACTTGAATTGATTCAGGATTGCTGGTAGGTTTGAAAGTCTGACCATTTGCTGTGCTGATAAAGGGTCACCCTCATCAGTGAGGAGGAGGACAGTTTAATAGAAGGACTTTAAGACAGGATAGCTCTAAATATAGCCACCCTAAATAAACACATTTTTAGGAGATAATTCTTATAGTCATGCACCCTGTTTGAGCTGTGCTAAGCAGCATTACCAGTGAAGATGAACACATACCTTCTAACCTTCTACAGACTTGAACTGTAGCCCACTCCAGCCAGTGTTTAAATGCCTGTTACACTGAAAATATGCCACAGAACTGCAAAGAAAGTACAAGAAAAAATGGAACTGCGTTGTTTAACTGAAACTTCACTTTATAGCTGATTGCTAATCCATATGTCAGAATATCCCTTTTTTCCACCCCAGTTAATTTTTTCTCAAAGGTATTAAGGACCATTGGGATTTAAAACACAGTTTTTTATTTTAAAGCCTTAAACAAGCTACATAAACTCTGCCATGCATATCTGGAATGCTCCATCTGAAAGCCTCTCCCCAAAAAACAGAGACTTGCCTCAAGCAAGGAGTAGGGTATTTGACTTAAAAGGACTTGTGGCATCCTGCTACTGCTTTACTTCTGTAACACCTTTTAGAATCTAGCTGGGTACAAAGGGCAATCCATTACAAAGGCAGTAAAGTTTTAATATTAAGACTGATTAATCTTTTCAAATTGTTATTAAAAAAGATTTACTAAGTAAAGAGGTTTTTGATAAGAAACCTATAGAAAGCAAAATGTTAATGAATCTGTGGTGGCTCCAGAGCAGAGGATCCCTTTGCACTCACTCTCAGCACATGGAAGATTGTACAGTCCCTCTATCAGACAACATATGAAGATTTCTTGTTGGTTCAACATGATAGAGAAGTCTTAGTTCTCCTTTATTAAAAAAAAACACGGGTAAATTACTCAAAAAAGTTTTATCCATATAAAATTGTGAAAGCTTCAAGTATCAGTGATCCCAAACTGTCCTATTGACCAAATTGATGGAGATCTCAATGCCAAAAATAAATTATGTTTAGAATAAATTAAAAGCCACAAGGTGATCTCATTGAAAAGTTGTTAAAAACAAAAACAGAGATCAAACTGTTGTGTTTTTTTGCTTGATTGTTTGGTTGGGTTTTTTTAAAGCCACAAAACTAAATTTAAGTTCTCATGGCAATATTTAGTTTCTCAAATGTCCAAGCAATCTCAGTTTTTACCACAACTCATACTACAGCTGCCATACTTTAGGCACCCATGAGAAGTCTGCAGTTCCATTTCAGGGGAAGTTGTGTTAATTTTCATCACTTCAGCATGATGCTTTGGGGAAATTCAGTCAAGCTGGCATGGCTGGATCATGGCTGATCACTCCTGCCAGAAAGGACACTGGCATGGGACCCAGTGTGGGGGGCATAAAAGGGAGGAGAATGAAGGGATTTTCTCAGGGATCTGAACAAAAGGAGTGTTCATCTCCTGTGACTGACAGCTGAGACACTGGAGGTCGAAAGCGGTTTGTTTCCCCACACAGCTTTAACGAGGGGATGCTTTGACTGTGCTGTCCCTTGACCCTTCTATTAGTGGAAAGCTCCTTAAGACTTTCATATTTTCCAAGGTCTCCCTTTATCTCAACAGGGACTGAAACCACATACCACACCACAAACATGTGCTATTTCAGGCACTGAGATGGCGTTTTACAATTCCAGGCTGTGATCAATTACTGACTATTTGAGATTTATAACAAGTGCTTTTTCCACAGAATGGAAATCTGATGGTGACTTCAACCAGCAAGTCCAGTAAAGCTGAACAACTGCTGTTTGAAGAAGAGGCCCCAAATGGATCCATATTTCAAGATTTAGCAAACTCAGAATTGGCAACCTTTGTGTCAGATTTAATCCAACAAACTCTGTTAAAGACTGAATCAATTACAACAGACTCGTGGACAAAAAAAAACATCATGTGAAGGTAGGATGTGAAATTAGTTACTCTGCACATTCCCTTCTATAGCTGCACATATGTAAACATTTATTCTACCTCTCTTTTTCAGATTATTGTTGTCATTGGGGAAATAATTTAAACTAAGCCAATGATATTCTGGAAGAGTACTCCTGGATCAGTTACTAACCAGTGCCTTTCATTAAGAAAGCTGGTTGTGTCCATGGTGCAGAGAACAAGGGATACTCACAAGTGGTCACTTCACCAGCCTAGCCATGTAACGAGGTTCCTAAATTTGGCACAACAACATGGTCCCTGAAGGTGGATGGGATGGACCCAGACCTAGAATACCCAGAAATGGCACTATAATGATGTAGAACCTACAGTCTCTTTACACAACACTCACAGGGATTTAATGCAAAAGTAATGTACTCAGTGTAACTTAATGTAAAGTTAAAATCTAATACTTACTATTCTAGACCAGACTCAGAAGCTGGGATTGCAATCCACCTAGCAAAAGAACTGCAGGAAGAGGGAGGAGGTGTTATTTCTAATTTAGAGCAAGTCCTATGTTACCCCTTCTGTAGGAAAAAGCAAAATGCCCACAGCTTTCCCAGCCAGAAGAGGTAAGTCTGCACTCCAGAGTGGCTCAGCACTATTTTTATTTCAGAACAATGTTTCAGCAACAGTTTGGGTGAAACACTCTGTGTTTCCATCGTGTAGGTAAACATGGGTCCAAATGAGAGGCCCATGATCACATGGGAATTCTGTCCTGAAGTTGGAATTGAAGACAAATCTCTCAACTTCCCGCCCTGTGTTTTTCCTACCCAGCCTAACTTCTCATCAGCTCTAGGATACCTTAATGATTAAAGGTACAAACCACTTGCAGGGCCTTGAGGATTGCAGTCATTCTCAGGATTATATATATACATATATAAAATATATTTCCTTCTTGCCCCCTCCCCATCTTTTTAAAGCCTTGCAAAGAATTTTTAAGAGAATGCTCTGTAAAAGTCCAAGTGAATTGCCCTGTTTCTCTGACATACATCTGTAACCCATCTTGCTGATTCTGAACACAAACAATTTTGTGCACAAAGACACTGAAATTTCCTTTTTCCGTGACTGCCCTGGTTTTATATACCTCCACTGCTCTGTCTCAGTAGTTCTAGGAGCAAACCAGTCACATTGCAAGTAGAGCAATACAGATGCATTGATGAGCCACGCAGATGTATTCCAAGTGTTTGGGATAGGACTCAAAGTCCTGCACAGCTGGTTTTCTTGGCTAACTTTCACCCTTTTGGAGTTTTCTATGCTTGTAATGCTCTTCAGAACATGTAAGTAATGGACCATGTAAATACAAAGCATTTCTGTAAGAACAGATCTGGATGTCCTCAATTACAATGCTTTCATCCATGCATTTCCTTGAAACCAATATATTGTTTTTCACAGGTATTTCCAAATCTGGTCCATAACTGGGAATAAGGAGTAGAGCCAGTAAAATTTTTCAGCTGGACTAAGTTCCCATAAAAAGGCAAGGCTTCCTTGAAAATGAAATTTTTCATAGGACTCTAGAGTTACATTTATCAGAGTTGAAGGCCCAGAATTTTCTATTAACTTCACAAACACTCACTCCAGTGTGATTCTATCCAGTTTTTTTTTTAAATATTGCAAATCCAGTGTGGACATTCATAGGAAGAATTAAATCTGTAAGGAAAGACTATACTTTCAATCACATTAAGAATGCAAGAATTGTTTTTATTCCCTACCTTATTACTTTACATTTTTCTTACACAGTATATTTAACGACAGCATTCAGAATGTTTAAATTAGGTTGATTATTATCAAAGTCTTTTCACTAATGAAGCAAATGAGGGTTCTGAAGAGATCTTTGCACCAGAAGGAGTGATTTCCTGATCCATCTGATCCCACAGCAGATCCCAGTGCTGTGGAAAGGCCTGAACTGCAGTACAGGGTGGGGTGCGGAACATCTGTCTCACCTCTCCGATCTCAGAGGCTCACAAAGTGAGAGCTGGAATATTTGATAGCAGTTGTCTCACTGAACTTTTCTGTTCAGTGCAGCATGACATTATTCTGTAATTACATGGTCTTTCCTGCCCAGAGAAAGTGCATTTTTTACTTTTTTTTCCTCCCACATCAAAGTCAAAGATGTCCAGGTACTCCAACACTACTCTCTAAGATTTCTTCAGCTCTTCTTTCCCAGTTTCCTAAGGTTTAGTGGTTGGTTTGCAGGTGGATGGCTTGTCCAGCTTTCACCCTGTATAGTTTGTAACAACTGGAGTCAGGTTTTTCTTGCCTTTTCCCCCCCCTCTTTGAATTTTCATGGATGGAATTTGCCAAGGTTGATTCATTGAATGAAGTCCTGGTGTGTCCACCCGTCAGCGTCTGTGCCGAAGCAGCCAAGCCTTCCCTGGGTGCATTCCCATCCCTCATCAGGCTCTACACAAATGTGCACCATTTTACTGCTTGGCTTATTAGTTCTAAAACCTCCAGATTCTTTACCTCATTCTGGCAGTGAAAAGCTGGGAGGAGGGCTTTTAACTGAACATATATTACAGAAACACTACATTTAAGTCTCCTTTATAAAGGAATGGAGAACTGACCCTGAATTTTTCAGAGCTGTAATGAATAAAAGGTTCATTTCATGACTCAATGTGCTCTTGCTCTTCGGGGGGGTGCTTTATCTTTAATTATAAGATTATACATCTTATAATCTTTTTGAGTTTAGAACATACAGTCTACACCAGGATCTAATCTGCCTTGCTTTCTTTATTTACTTTTTTTATACTGAGAAAAATAGTATGTGTGCAGAATTATTTTTTAATTAACGTTTTCCTTGCTACTAGAACAGCTGGGCAAACTGATCATTCTCATTCTTCTAAAAACTGTTCTTTTAATAATATTTCTGTTTAATAGTATGATCTCAGACTAGAGTTTATTGCTGCTTTTTTTCTTTTTCTTTCCTTTACAAGATTTCTTTTAAACCTGCCATTTTAAGTACATGTAAATAGCTGTTCTTCATTTCAATTTGATACTTTTTAATCCTGAGCGAGTAAGAACCATGCACTTGGTTTAGAGTTGTCAGTGCACAGAAGTATTAACAAACACACCTTTTCACATTCACCATCCTATGCTGGTTGCCAGTTGACTCTAAAAGGTTTAACACCAGGTAATAGGAAGCTTCTTAAGGCCAAAAAGGCCAGCCATAATTATTAACAGGTACTCAGGAGACTACTAGGCATTATGAGTTAATGTCTTTCATGTGTCTGGAATTCTGGAGAGGATTCCCTGCATAAAGATGAAGCAGGGCCCTTATTAAAGAAGCCTCACAAATT